ATCCTTGACACTTTGAACCTAGGGACATAATTCATGGCCTTAAGAGCCCATAAACCCTTTTGACTCACCATACAAACATCACACGCGATAGATGATTTTGTTAGATCACTGAGCCTAGATTTAGGTTAGGGTTTTTTATGGTTGTTTATGTTGTGATTATGATGATTGTCTGCCATATTAGATATTAGGGTAGTTGCTTGTGCATAGACTGGATGTTAGGGGGACTAGATAGTTCTAACACTTATTGACTATAAGAGATCATGCTTAGCAAGATATTATTTTGTTAAATCATCCCCCTAAACACGGTCCATGAAAACAAGTGGCTTGGCACTGTGTGAAAAGTCCTAGTTTGTTATACTTCTCTTGCTTATGATGTACTTTCCATACTCATCTTTGTTTTACAGCGGTTGCAGTAAGCTTAAATTTTACTGTACATTTGATTGAGTCTGTATATAGAGTTTAGATTAGTTTGTTGGTCCTTTTTAGCTTGTGGGTGGCCAGAAGTTAGACGTAAACATGGACTTGAAAATGAAGTTTGACCTATACGTAGACACGAAGACAAACATGAAATTTCAACGGAACCTACAATTGAGCCTCATGATGAACCTGAAACTAAACTCAATGATGGACCACAAAAGATATCAAAAGAACCAAAACAATAACAATAAGCAAGGATAAAATTGGATAAACAAACAAATGCAGATTATTCCAAATGAAGCCTCATGATGCCTAAAAAACCTGGAAGGAGTTAAAGACTCCCACGGTCCCAATTAGCTTGTCTATCTTAGGTTTAGGTTGGGTTGTATAGATCGGCAAATGCTCGGCTACACCACCTTGTTTTTCATTTCTTTCGGTATGTATAATGGAATCCAAATGCACTAGCTTTTCGTTGTGGTTTTGTGCTATTTTTATTTGGTTGGCCCTTTCCTAATTGTGTTCATTTTTTGTGTTTGCATGACTAGAAACTACATATTTTTTCTAGGGTTATTGGCAGTTTGTGCTAGGCCTGGATATATGTGTGATGGGCTCTTAGGAAATAATTTTTTTATCACAACTTAAAAGCTTAAATAAAAATTAATTTGAAATTCAATATAAATAATTTAAAGCCTTAGGAATCAATTAATAAAATCAAATAGAAGCTCATAAGAATAAATGAACTATTTGCACTTGAATATTCATTTATCTTCTTTCTTCGGGCACTTCTACCATTGAACATAAAGGCGTATTTGATCAATGAGATAGTTACTTTCCATGTGACAGCCTGCCTAAACCCTGATTGGCCTTTAACTTTAAAACTAACGCATATATACAAGCATAATAGTATACCTATCAGCCTTTAGAATGGATTAAATTAAATAAAAAATGATAAAGCATAAATTATTGCATTAGATGCATCGCACGCCATACATGTTTAGGCAACTAGAATCGAATAATCAAGTCAAAAGACATTTTCTCTTTTTGATAAACAATAACCCAATTTATCCTTCATTTCATATGGCTGGACCACATAATTTTTGAGACACTAAGGTGGATTAGCCGACAATCCATTTCAGACAGGATTATAAGTTTAGTAGAGTAGGAGTTATTTCAGTCTTATGTAGGATTAAACTATAAATACATTATATTTCATTAGACTAGATTTGACAACCTATTATGTTTGTAGATTAGTTTTAGGAATATGAAGATGATTGTATTACTACATAATTCCCCACTTCCTAGATATTTTCACGATCTTGTGTCATGAGGATATAAATCATAACTTTCCAAAAAATGATAAATTTAAAATAAAACAAATCTATCAAATTTAAAATTATAAAGCCCTACCATATGATAATTGGAGTGTCAATAGGTTTCTCAGTATCCGAGCACTACCAATGTTTTCTCCATTGGCATTCAAAAAGAAATGTTTCAATTTGATTCATCCTAATTGAATATCCAAATAGCAAACTTAAAAACTTAAAACGTTGAAATTTATCGAGACAAAATTTACAATTTTAAATGAGTATTCTTAAGAGATGACCTTAACACTGTCATTGCCGGTCTCAAAACCAGATATGAAAAGTTGAGGGTTGTCTTAGGTAGTCGACATCCAACGTAAAACTTGTCGAAAAAAATCATGACATGAATCCTTTTGATCTATAGGAGAGTAGATGTTTTAGATTCGACTTATGTTAAGAAAGACAGAGGTAGACCTAAGAAAACTTGGGCGTATTGCATAAAAAATGATCTTAATTTATTAGAACTAGATGAAAATATGACATTAAATAGGACGCAATGGAGAAAAATGATTCATGTAGCCGACCCCAAGTAGTGGGATTAATGCTTTGTTGTTGTTATTGTTGTTGTTGTTGTTGTTGTTGTTGTTGTTTTCTTAAGTGATGACCTCGCTTAAATGTAATCAACTAAAAGGGCTTACTTTTATAGAGAACTTGAAACCTATATTAAAATAAATCAAATATAACTCGATTATGTAAAAAAAACTCTGGTTTACACAGATCTATAAATTTTGAAATATTTATTTAGTGATTAAATTTATTATAGAATGAAATTTATATCTTTTGAGATAATATTTTTATTCTGAAGTTGTATTTGATCATCTAAGAAAATCTATAAAATTTATGTCATTTCAAATAAATAAACCAAAACATGATAGTGAATGCTAATAAAAAGGCTAGAAACCTAACTTTCATGTAGTTTCTCCATCTTCCTACCATACTCTTAAGGGCTAGTTGGTCGATTTAAGCAGGATTTAACCTTAAATCTTTCAAAACGGTCTTTTTGGAGAAGTTAAACCAATCAAAAATTAAATCCTGAAATAACCTCATTTGACTATAAATCTTGAATTTATAAAGTACAAGAGTTCGATAGATTTAGGCAATTAATGTTAAGAAAAATGTGAAGAGAAAAAAGGGCGAGAGAATACTTGAGTCGTTGCTTTGCCAGCAAACGGTTGTCAAAACATTTCATTTCATTTTCATGAGGGTTTTGGGTATGAGCAAAAATGTGAGAAAAACGGGGTTTCGGGGAGGAGAGGTGTGTGAAAAGTTGCAGAGTTCGCTAAAGTGGAATCAGAAGACCTTTTTTATGGCTACAGGTAGAAAGGATGAGAGAAAAAAAAATGAGAATTTCGCTTGCAATTTGTGTTCTAGATTTATTAATTAAAACTTCTTAATTTAAGTTATTTTTATAATTTATTAATAATTATTAATAAAGATTTTATTAGCTTGAAACTATTTTAAATTAAATTTTATTTAAATTTTTTATTAATTTAAATGAGTAGTGATTAATGAGTGATCAATATATTATCATAACGTAATTATAATTTAACAATAAATGATATAAATTTGAAAAATAGCTAATAAGTAATTGATGAATAATAAAATACAAATTAAGGAATACTTAATTTATTGAAATTCTAATTAATAATTAATTAATTTAGTAAATAACTAATTATCGAATGAGTAATAAACAATAGAATATTCAATGATTAATTAAATTAGTAAAATGATTAATATAACCAACAATAATGTTATCGCATTTTTTTTTGTGTACAGGTATATCACTAAAAAATTTATATACCTTGACACAAATCTCGATGCATTTTAGATAAGAAAGCTTTCGAATTCAAATTTAAAACCATACAAACTCTGGTTTCAACAAATTTATAGTTAAATTGAGCATCTTGATAATATAAGCCCAATGACACTGAAAATGACTCAATAAGAGTCCAAATAAACCCAAATCAATTGTTTGAAGTATGATTGAAAGCATTAATTAAATGATCAAATGATCTCAAAATTTGGCATTCAGTCAAATAGAGCATTTTAATGTGAGTAATTCAACAAGTCTAAAATCACTCAATTCTAAGGATATGAAGACACTTAAATGCTAAAAAATGACCTACGATCGAAGAAATCAACATGAATTGTCCGATAAAGTGTTTTGAATTTTTAATTAAATTTACTAAAATATTCATCTAAAAAATTATAAATAAACTCACATTCTTCCCATGAGAATAATGAGTGAATAGAATACAGGAAAGCGACCTGACAACTAAGGCATAACTCGTGATAAGTATAGTTGAACAACAACCAGCTATTGTCAACTATTAATAGTGACTATTGTAGCCATTGTAAACTAGTCGAGTCAAACTCGAGCAGGCATAAACTTGAGCTTGATATATTAATTGAATTCGAGCTCGAGCTTGAGTCTACAAATTCAAGTCGGCTCGCGAGCTAGCTTGTTTAATCAAAATGATAAAGAAAATAAGCAATTAAAAGATTAAAAAAAATTACTTGAAATAAAACATGAAATGTCATTTTTTAAACATTTTTAATAATTCAAAGAAAAAGTATTAAAATTTTACATATTTTGAGTATATTTTATATTAATACTTTTTTAAACAAGTCAGTCACAAGCTAACGAGTCGAGTCGGAGTTAGCTTGAGCTTGGCAAGTTAGCTCATGGAGCTCAGCTCACGAGCCACTAATCTAACCGACTTTTAGTCAGATCAACTAGGGTTGTTGTAGCCCAACTAGGGTTGTTGTAGCCACCGGCTATAGTTGTTATAGCTCAACTATGACAGTTACAGCCAAACTAATAATATATAATTATGATTGTGGATTTTTAGAAATTTCAACTTTCCTAATTCAAGAGAAAAGTGAATATTTGTACTTTCAATTTCTTAGTTAATTACTTTGACTTCAGACCCAATGAGTTTTTTTCTTTCTATTCACGCAAAAAAAAAGAGTCATTTATTATATTTTAATCTATGTGTATGATGGAAAGTTATACTGAGCTAAGACTTAAGATGTTTATGTCATTGAAAATTTCTAATACGCAACAATTTTTAATATCAAACTTAAATTTTAAAAATTTATTTGAACTAAATTTAAATCCTAATATGTGTTACCAAACAGTTCAGCAAGATTTAATCTAATTTAACATCTATCATAGCAAATATTTTTCATGATTTAATTTAACACTCCATGATTTATTAAATCCAAATTTACAAGATTTACTAAATGATACTTGTAGCAAAACGAGCTATACTAAAATAAACAACTTTTCACAAAATAGTAAACAAGCAGCACCAAATTGAAGCATGGAAATCAAAATCTAGGCCTTTCCTAGCAATCTAACTATCATCAATATGGTTAAAAGTTGTTGACATCAGACATGAATAGCCATACAGCTTGCACAACAGTGTAAAATATCTCCACCATAAGTAGCTATTGCAAAACTTACTGAGCTTTGATCAACTGAAGAATTGCTGCTCAAATGGATGCCCATGGATCCCCTCCTGGCCATTCTGCAAATGCCATTGATCCGTGATGTAAGATCGACGAGCGGAATCCCTAGAAAGACAGCAGTGATGCGCAAAGACTTCTATTGAATCTTCATAATCAACCCATAGCAAGATAAAACAGTGCCCAGATGTTTCCCATTGGCAGTTCATCAAATAGTTAGCAGTTCACCCCCATGGCCGCCGAAACCCCAGAGCTCATAATCCTTCTCTATCTCACAAGCCGCATCCTCCTCCCCTAATCTCCTCAATCCCTTTATCATAAACTTGAACAAGTACTCATTTGGCTCACAACCTCCTCTCTTCATCATCTTGTACACATCCTTTACTGCCTTTCCCTTCCCTGCCGCAACCAGAGCTTTCACGAGTCGAGCAGGTCCACGGAGATCCCCAGCCGCAACACCCCCACCTAATTGTAACTCTTCCAAGAGCTCCACCATCAGGAGGTCAATCTCGGAATCAGTTTTGCTCCTCGTCAGAGACCCAACCATGTCAGCATAGAGCGCGCAGTCGATCCTATACCAGTTTTCTCTTCGAGCGGCCTCGAATACCTTGAGGGCTAGCTGCCACTGATCCTGCCTCTGGAGCTCGGTAAGGGCCGCGAGAAGGTCGGCCCTGATGAGACGGGCCACAGAGGTAGAAATGATGCGGTTAACTTCCGCCTCGTCATTGCGCGCACGTTTGAGGGCTTGGACGGTGAGAATGGCTTCACTGCTCAGCGTGCGGCCTCGGCGGAGTGGCTGGCGATTGTCTCGAGGTCCGGAGACAATTATTGAGGCAGGGGAGGAAGTGGGGTTAGGGTTTCTGAGAAATAGGTTGGAGAAGAGGATGCGAGAAAACGATGGGCGGTTGAAGAGAGGCGGCGCTTGCGCACAGAGAGATGCAGCGGATGCGGAAACGCCGGCCGCCATTAGCTTGCACGGTTTTCCTGCTCCCAATTTTGTTCAGTGGACACTCATACGAATTGATTATTATGCTGCTTTATTAAATTTGAATGGGATTTACGTGCATAACATTCAACACTTGCATTTTCATATCTAGTATCTTAATCGTACTATTTATTTTTGTATCCCTCTCAATGCCCACCGAAATAACACTTCATTCTGTACCCATTAAGGGTATTTTTAGGCCAGCAATTGTTGGAAAAAATAACAGTTAAATTACTGCAAAAGAAATTATTTTAAAAAAATTGATGGTTATTATAAATTTATTTTATTGCCAAAAAGTCGGATCGTAACTTTTTGACAATCATCGCACTTCAGCAGTTCATGTTTAAAAAATAGTTTTGTATCGTAGAAATTTCTAAAAAACGGTTAGAAAGCAGTATTTCAAACAAAACTATGGTGGTTGTCTAAAAAGCAAAGCATGCAGAAAATTATCTCAAATAGACCTTAAACCACCCATTTTGTCTCATGGCCATAGTGGGTATCTCTCCCGACAACTATCATGTTGCTTGTTGTCACTTCTTCTCCTTAGAGAAAATATTACATTCGAGGTCGGACTCCAATAGCATTACGACACCTGTTTTTTCAGCTGGACCGATTTTAGCTGATAAAAAAATTGATATTTGTTGGTGAGCTGAACCCTGTCGGCAAGAATTTTTCCTCGGTCGCTTTGAAAATCATTTTATGCTGACATTTTCCTCGATTGCTTTGAAAATCATTTAATTATATATATATATATATTTTTATATATATATATATATATATATATATATATATACCCAGCCCAAAATGAGCCCGAAATTCAGAAAAAGTTACATTTTCAAATACTTGAGCGCTTTGTCACGCTCTGCCACATTCGAGAAATCATCGAGACAAACACAGGATGGACGATTCTAGAGAAGGTCAGAATATG